GAATTAGTATATTCTTGTATGTTTAATTATTGTTGCTAGATTAATTTTACAAAATCTGGATCATTCATTACTTTGTCGGCATTTACACCAGACTTCACTGTGACTGTTGGTAGATTATTAGTGACAGCCTCAGTTAAATCATTCATACTGTAAAATGGTTATTGTCAATCATTCATACTGTAAAATGGTTGTTGTAAATCATTCATTACTTTGTCTGTGTTTACACCAGACTTCACTGTGACTGTTGGTAGATTATTAGTGCGGCACCAGTTAAATCATTCGTACTGTAAAATGGTTGTTGTCAATCATTCATTACTTTGTCTGTGTTTACACCAGACTTCACTGTGACTGTTGGTAGATTATTAGTGACAGCCTCAGTTAAATCATTCATACTGTAAAATGGTTATTGTCAATCATTCATTACTTGGTCTGTGTTTACACCAGACTTCAATGTGACTGTTGGTAGATTATTAGTGACAGCCTCAGTTAAATCATTCATACTGTAAAATGGTTGTTGTCAATCATTCATTACTTCGTCTGTGTTTACACCAGACTTCACTGTGACTGTTGGTAGATTATTAGTGACAGCCTCAGTTAAATCATTCATACTGTAAAATGGTTGTTGTCAATCATTCATTACTTTGTCTGTGTTTACACCAGACTTCACTGCGACTGTTGGTAGATTATTAGTGACAGCCTCAGTTAAATCATTCATACTGTAAAATGGTTGTTGTCAATCATTCATTACTTTGTCTGTGTTTACACCAGTGAGGCTGTCACTAATAATCTACCAACAGTCGCAGTGAAGTGTTAAATCATCCATACTGTAAAATGATTTTTGTTAATTATATTTGGTATATCACATTAGACCCTCTATAATTTGTTTTTATTTTGCTTTGTTCTTGAAAGTTAATTAAGTTAATTGCTTTTCTACTTTGTAGAAATAGCTTGGAAACTGTAAAACTTTTGATGTATAGCATGCAGTCTGTTGTTACACTACTAATTCTTATAGATGTAGATAAAAGTATGACAGTGTTTTGTTCAGGTGCAGAAAATCTACCCAGTTATAAACTATTTGCAAGTGAAATATGACTTTTGGGAAACTTAAGGATGCTAAAATAACAATAATCCTTAGTTCGATTACACTTTTGATGATGTGATTAAATTATAACTGCATGAAAACTGATTGAGTTTTCTAGCTACTTCATCAGTTTTATTTCTGTAGGGAATTCTTGCGAATGGGGTCTCCACTCTGTTGTAGAAGCTTTGAGGAACTGGGACTTGAACAGGAAAGATTATCCAAGAATGAAAGTCGTCCAGCCAATCATAGAAGTGGTGGGCCTGTGCCTCTTACTCGAGTCAAAACCTTAGTTTCTATGACCACACCTAGAGATTGTAGACTACATGGTACAGCAGTTACACCACCATTTGTAGAGTTTGACATGAGCTGTGAGGGGTTTAGTTGCCTTTATTTGCCTTCTGTAGCCCCACAGAGTGTGAGTGGACCATCTGTTGTAGGTGTGGGGATGGTTGCTCTAGGAGCCGAATCAACTGTCATTGGAGGAATTGGTACAGGCAAGTTATCAGATCCAATTCACTCCACTAAAACTTTTAAAGCCAAATTCTGTATGTTGTCTTTAGTATGTACTGTTGCAAGAAAATACTTGTGAAATTCAGAAAAAATGGTTTTCAATACTTCATTTATTTTCATTCTAAGTAAAAAGTAGGTTTGATTTGTGACTAGTGCCAAGTAGTTAGTTAGGCTTTTTTTATAAGAGTATTTTTCAAAGACTAAGTTGTTTATCCTGATAGGAACTGTATTTAAAGATACTTTTAATTGTATGAATTCTTATTTTATATGGGAGTTATGAGGCTTACAATAAAACTAAGTAACAAGATGTTATTTGGCCATTAGGGATAAGCAGTTAATTGTGACCAAAACTAAACCTTTACAAGACCTTTCTAATGATATATATAAGTCAGTGATTACGAAGTTCATAAACTACATTTTATTAATGTCAAAACATTTATTTTTTTCTTTCTCTAACATCAATCCTTAAACTTTTCAGTATGTTTAACCAAAGTGCAAGCAAGTTTCCTGAAAATCTTTAGACAAAATTAAACTTGTACATTGTCTATTGGTCTTTAAATATTGAAACAAACCTTAAGCCTTTTTGAATCATCATACCTATCTTAGCAACTTCATATTTAGCATTTTATCTGCAGAAACCATAGAATCTGTGTACTCTGTCTCTTTTTGTAATCAAACTATGGAAGGGATCAGAATAACTAGGTAATTAAATAATAAACACATTAAAAATCAACTAATACATTTGGAGGTACGAAAATAATTTGAAGTAACAATTAAATTGATTAATTTAACTAAGTGGAGCTTACTGGTGGTGTTAGAGAAGATTCTTCTACTATATTTTAAATTCACCAAATGTTTGATGTAATTTGATTGCAGGGGATCGAATGTTTCCTCCTCAGCCAGGCCTTAGCTTTTCTACGTGGACTTGTGTTGATAAGTTTGGTCCTCCCCAACCGGTACGCTTCTTAACTCTTGTTAGGAATATTCAAGGCAGAGAAGATCATCTAATTTGCTTAAGCCTTCTGCTCTCTGCTCAAGATGGTGCTCTTCTTATAAGCACTCAAGAAGTGCCAATGCCTCAATCAGGTAACTTTTAGTTTGATCTAAAAAAAAAGTAGTATTATTTACAAGGATATCTGGGAATTATTGTGAAACAATCATATGAACAGAAAAGTGAGTAGGAGAAGTAAAGTAGTCTGTATACCAATGGGTTATTACTTTATTAAAACAATACAAGTTCAGTTCTTTGGTATTTCATCAAGTAATAGTCTTAAGGAATAAAGAAGTTACAGTTTAACATTTTTTTGTGTTGGTTTCTGATTGTCACCTAGAATGTTTTGTTGTTCTGACCTGACTGGCTCGTTCGTGAGTAAAACTCTTAACACATTTGGAACATACCTTTAATGTTCATTCGTTAATTTGAATAGATAAACACTTAATGGTGTAATCTGATGGGGAAAACAGGGCAAGGTTTATGGTTCATAACACTTCAAGGCTACAATAAAATATTCACGACTCAAGAATCACTTCTTTGTCGGCTCATAGAAACTGAATGTGAGAGTAAATGTCACTAACAAGTTTAAGAATTTTTCATTGTTGTTAAGCCATGATATGCTGTGTACAAGGACACCATTGTATACTTTTTGTTTTTAAATTATTGGCACATTAAACTTTGGGTGGTGGTTAGTTGGCTGATTACCTTATTAATAAAACAAAGTGGACGATTACGTAGCTTTTTTTGCATAGTTGACCGTCTCTGTGAAGTAGTTCAAATACGTCACTGAGTTGAAAGCTTTCCTAAATAAAGTACTCACCAAATAACATAGAAATCTTGTGAACAAGGAGTTTTATTATGAAGTGTACAAAAAGAATGGGAAAAAAAAAAGGTTGTTTTGTGATGTGTTGTAATCATTGAACATTTACTTAACTTGCAGGCAACAGTATCTAGGAAAGAAGTTTGAAATCTTTCTAATACTGCCAGTTTAATATATAGATGTTTATTTATAATTAAGAAAACTGGTTATTGTTTGGAAGATTTAAAAACAGCAAGATTTATGAAGATACCTGGAACAACGTAAGATCCAAAGGGAACGAAACTGAAATTCTTTAAGTGAAGTTTGTTGATAAAAAAATAAAAATTCAAAAATCAGAAGCTGATATAGAACTCACGGCCATAACGTTGTCATGATGATAGATGTTTTGTAAAAGAAATAAAGAATTATTAAATGTGAATTTCATTACTTTATATACGTTGACAAATTGCTATGTTGTTATCTTTATAAACATACCCTCTGCTACTAGTTGAATGATCTTATTAGTGATATAATGGTCAGTAATGTACAATGGCTCGTTAAAGTATTAGGGCATAAATATATTTTAACTATGTATAAAATTAGCACTGGTAGGACATTTTATAAGAATTTTTGAGGCACGTATTTATAAATGGGTTTTGTAGTTTCATTTGTTCTTGTTTCTGAAATTGCTGCCACATGATTATGACTAGCTGATTTTCATATTAATAAAAAATGCACTTAGTAGAGTATGAAGAAACTTTATTTTAGATTTTCTGTCACTAAGACAACTGTTACCCATCTAGTTTTATATGAAGTTTTCATCCAATTTTATCTCGAAATCTCTTGTATTGCAAGCGATATTTAATTTACATTCCTCTACTTCTTCAAGGAAAAGGTTTGTGATATAAGGTCTTGTTATTTTCAACTACTGAATATTATATTTTGCAATATTTTAAACTATTGGGAAGCAGTGTGTTTGAATCCAAGACAATTCTCCACTGCATTTAAAATGTATCTTATATTTTAAAGATATTCCTTTATACATAATGATGCAGACTTCTTGTGGAAATACTGAATAAATTTAGTGTTGTATATTTACAATCCCTAATATTTGGTAGAAATTATAACAAAATTAAGTGATGTTATTATGTCAAGAAACACATTTAGTTAAAATTCATTATTTGATAATTAACATATAATTTAATTAATGAAATATTGTTTGTAGGTTGCTGTGATTGGGAACCAGAAGTTAAAGATGAAAGTTGTGTCAGTATCTGGTCACCAGAATTACTACAGGAAGGTCAGTGGCACCATCTGGTGATTGTTCTGAACAGAGCTGTATTGAAAAATAGTTCCATGACAGTATATTTGGATGGAAAACATCTAAGTACTCAAAAGGTAAATGAAATATATTTTTGTGTTGATCAGTTGCACTGTATAGTTATTTACCAAAGATTTGATATTAGCTTATTTAATGATGTGAATTGCTTGTAATATGTAATATTTTAATACTTGGTGTGTACTGTTTAAAGGTGAATCACAAAAGCTAAGTGGATGCGTACATTTAAGTATTGTGAATTGTTTTTTTTTGTAAATAAAGATAGTACTTGTATATTATAATTTTATTACCCTTCCTTCTATTGTTTGAAATGGTACATTATCAAATGTTTTTTGAAAACTCCAAATATTGTTTCTTTCACGATGGGCTCAGTATAAAATACACAAGTTTGTATACACATTTGCACAGGTTAAATATTTATACTATAACTTTTAATGCTGTATGTGTATCTTCACAAAATTTGGTAGACTTTTAGTAATGATTCCAAGTCTTTTGTACACAAAAATTCAGATTTTTTAGTGAAGTATTTTTACTAAAGATTTGTTTGTGAAAATATCAAGTCTGTTTTGTTAGAAGTCCGAGTGTGAAGTGATTTTCATGTCATCATTCAAAAATCATTCTTCTTCCCAAAAATCTCAAATATTATTTTAGTAATCTCTAAAACCTCCTACATACATTTCAAATGTTTGTTTTCAGTAAAACTTTATATTTTGTCTGTTATTTTCTCTACCCTAACTATATGGGGTCTGTCAATTTGACAGACCTCGTAAATACCATAAAAATTAGGAAATAAATTTAAATTATGCTTTTTTTGTTTGAGAATAACTACAAATTATAACACAGAAACAGAAATGTTTAGTTAAATAGGTTAAATCTCATAACATTATACATTTATATATATTTATTATATATTATATTATGTTTTTTAATGTTGGTAAACATTTTTTGTGAAATCTAGCAAAAAATAACAGTTACTTTTTATATGATGCTAGTGAGAAATAGAACTCAGATATATCAAATCATGAGTGACAATCAAAATTTGACCTGACTTTTGAGAATGCCTTTTTTGCAGTTGCACTACATATCTCAGAACCCTGGTGGTGGAGCAGCAAACCTTACAATTGCTAGTTCTGTATATGGTTTTATTGGAACACCTCCTCAGTTTCGTCGTCCATCAACCTTACAGTGGCGACAAGGACCATGTTTGCTAGTGGAAGATGTTTTGTCAGCTTCAACTGTAAACTTACTCTACAAACTCGGTCCCACATACATTGGCTGCCTTCAGGGAACGAGTCAGAGCAGTAGGTTGAGGGTCTTTGGTTTGAGACATTGTTTTTTAAGAAAAATTTATGATAAAAAAATCCAGAAAACAAGTAAATATTTGACTTTGTTAGAGAACATCACTGGCAAATGAAAAAAAATGACACACAGATACACAAGATAGAATTTGATACCTGTCAGAAATTAAAAACAGCAAAGATACTAAGCTACTGAATAAGTTTACTTAACATAATTCTTTTCTAAAAGGCAATTAGCTCAAGTAAGGATAAATTTATCTAACTTTCGTTGCATGGGAACGTGTTCTTTATTTTTTTAACATGTGTCATCGTTTAACAACAACAAAAGAACTTACAAAAATAAATGTTTATTTCACTCTATTGTTTTGTACTTATTCACAAAGCTAATTTTTTTCAACATTCACGTGAGAATATTATTTAATAGCATGAGTTAATGTGACTTTTTAAATTCATTTATTGTAACATGTTCTATCATTGGGTGGTGTCTTGTGGATTATTTGGCAAAAATAATGTCCAAGTCCAGTCTATGTAACAATAACAATTTAATTTATTTCTTCAATAAACATTTGCTTCAGCCGCATTTACTTGTAGGCCTAACTTGAAATACATAAATTTTTGAACATAAATTCTGAAAAGATGTAGGTCTAACTTATATATAAACTTACACGTAAAATCACTCACTAATTGCTCATTAGCTTCTCTTTCATTAATGCCCCCCAGTGGCACAGTGGTATGTCTGCGGAATTACAACGCTCGAAACTGAGTTTTGATACCCGTGGTGGGCAGAGCACAGATAGCCCATTGTGTAGCTTTGTGCTTAACTTCAAACGAACAAACTTTCACTAATTGCTAATTTAATACTCGTTGATTCACTGTTTCACTTTACTTGTATTTAGATGGCACTCACCTTTTACTCACTATACAAATTTTTAAGATCATAACATCCTGTGCTCTCTAGTAAATATTTAAATTAAAACATTGAAATAAAGCTTACAGCACATTCATAGTTTTAGCTAAAATAAGTATCAGTATTTCCAAGTACATATTACTAATAATTTAAAACACAGTTGACATTATTTGTATTAAACAGTTATTCATGGTTAGAAAAATAAGTTTCTCATTTTGAAGTAACATTTTTACTTGTTACATAGAACGATAGCTTCTTCAGGCTAATTGTAAGTTAGAAGAATGTAATTGGTCTCTTCTACGACAACACTATTAACTCCATAAAAGTACTTTTTCCAGTCTTTGCTTTGTTTTCTGACTCCTTTAGAATCAGATCCAAGTCCCTCAGTTGTACCTGAGGAGAAGGCGGTATTTGGACTTAATGCCACTTCCGTTTCCGTAATGACTTTGGCCAAGATTCGTAAGGTTTACAGCAAGAAGGATTCAAGATCAATTGCAAAAATGGTGAGTTCTTTTAATCCAAGTTTTATATTAAAAATGGTGAGTTCTTTTAATCCAAGTTTTATATTAAAAATGGTGAGTTCTTTTAATCCAAGTTTTATATTAAAAATGGTGAGTTCTTTTAATCCAAGTTTTATATTAAAAATGGCGAGTTCTTTTAATCCAAGTTTTATATTAAAAATGGTGAGTTCTTTTAATCCAAGTTTTATATTAAAAATGGTGAGTTCTTTTAATCCAAGTTTTATATTAAAAATGGCAAGTTCTTTTAATCCAAGTTTTATATTAATATAAAACAAATGTGTATAGTTTTACCAATTTGAAAAAAAGTCATTATTGACTTGCAACTTCCTCAATTGAAAGTAAGGTTCGACTGTGGCCCATTTAGTTCTGTAGACTAGTTTGTTTTAGTGTAGGTTGGTTTTTATTGTAAAATGCAGACAGTAACTAAAAGCAGCAGAGACCATTATTATATTAGGTTTTGAACATATCATAATTTGTTTCTTTATCCAAATATCTCATTCATCTTAAAACTAGAATTGTTGGAAAGTGCTGGCTTACAAGTATGTTGAATGTTACACAATCTTCACTGTCGTGATATATCTTTTTTTTTTTTACAGAGATACCAATAATGTTCAAGTAATAACTTAGATGTTTATGAAACATTTATACATACTTATAATTTTCAAGCAATAATCAAGATGCTTATGAAGTACTTATTATAGAAAATTTGCATATTTATTTTGTATATTTGGACTATGGAGAGACTGATCTGGAATATTAAGTTAAAAACACAAATTTTAGACCCATGAGCCAGATGTTTTGGCAGAGACTGTTGTTGTCTTTGCCACTAAATCTTTATGTATGAAATATTTTCTTTGTTCTATATGAGATTCATAATAGATATAGATAAAATTTTTATATCTTTAAATATACATGTACAGCACTTAGTTTGTCAGTTTTTTTGCTTTTTTTTTAAATTTTAAATTGATGATAATACAGTTTCCTTTCTTTGTTGTCAGAAATTTAGAATATTTAAAAATATATATTACCAGCTGTATAAAATAAAACTTGTGTTTGATCCTATGATGAATTATAGTGACTCTGTTCACTTATGATGTAATATATACAGTCTGTTTTTATATTTGATACGTGTCTTTTAAGTAGTATCAAGAATTATTTTAGAACAATAATATTGAGAACATTTTTCAACATCAGACAAGGCAGAAAAATTTATAATTGGTAAACCACGATCTCTGTTTATATTATTTGGAAAATTGATATGATTTTATAGACCATTAATAAGAAAATAAGTTTGTAAAGTCTGTTCTTTCGGAAGAAAAGCGAAGGGAAATGCATAATCAATATTTTGGACAGAGTAACATGAGATAAAATGTCATGTTAAATGAAGAACTGGAAAATAGTCTATATTATAGAAACATAATTAATGAACAATTTGGGAAACCAGGCAATGTCATTAAGGTATCATCAGTGAACTGTGTTGGGAAAAAAGCTACATTGTAAAGGCGTAACCCACACATGTTAGGGGAAATAGGTTACTTCGTGAAGTCATGATCTGTGAACTGTTTGAGAAAGTAGGCTACTTCATAAAGGCATTACTAGGATCTGTTTTAAAGCTGATGAAAGCTGAAAAGTTTATAGGGAAGAATTAATTGATCTTAATATTTTGTAACGCATCATGTTTTCATAAAATATCAGTCTGTTTATCAGAATCAGAACTATTGGATGAGGTATATTTCATATTCAAAACAAACCTGCTAAGCTTTTATACTCATCTTTAGGATCATGCTCAGATAGTACAAGTAACCTTCCATCGAGTAAATGTGGTTGGTTATTAAATTTGGTACAAATGGTGGACTAGGACAAAAATATGAAACAATCATTTTAAAAGAAAATCTTTATCAGTTCATGTGGTTCCACTTTTAAAAGAAATGTTGCATATCTCCATGTAAAAAGTAAGATTTATTTTGTTTTCTTGTGCAGATGGGTATGTCTTCTCATGAGAATGCCACACCTATAAGGATACTTCACAACTCAGCAGGTCACCTCACAGGTCCAGCAAGAACACTTGGTGGAGTTTTGTTTGGGTATCTTGGTGAGTCAGCTAACACTAAAATGTCAATGAAGTTCTCTTTGATGAACAGGGGCCTGGCATGGCCAGGTGGTTAGGGCGCTCGACTCGCAGTCTGCGGGTAGCGGGTTCGAATCCCCGTCACACCAAACATGCTCGCCCTTTCAGCCGTGGGGGCGTTATAATGTGACGGTCAATCCCACTGTTCATTGGTAAAAGAGTAGCCCA